CCCCAAAACCCCAAAACCCCAAACCGCAAATCAGAAAATGTGCCAAATATGATTTATCATTTTAAAATAAATTTGTTTTTTAATTTCAAAGTTATAAAGAACTTGTTCATGTGGCTTTATTAAATAGCAAAATTTCAGATAATTGCAATCCCTCATTACTTACAGATTGCAAATCAATCTTTATGCTTTTTGTCTTTAACCCAAGTTCATTAGGCTTGAATAATCTATTTTAAAATCTTTCATCAAACTATAGATTATCTTTTGATGCTACAACTTCATATGAATCTCCCTTTTAAATTGAAATCTCAATCATTTCAGGATCCATTTTAGGACAGTCATCAGCGCTTTTAATTCCAATTACCATGAATTCAATTTCTTCTTCGAAATTCAATATAATTATAGCTTAATCGCATTCTTCAATTCTCCATTTACCTTCACTTTTAATTAAATTTTCAACAGCATGCTCATTATCAGGAAGTGATTTACCTTTACTTTTAACTATTAGAGTTCCTTATATTGCAATTTTTCCATTTTCAAACTCTTCTTACAACTTTTTAGCGTTATCATTCTATGCTTATAGTTCCTCTTCCTATTTCTATATTTTTTCTTATTTTTTTTTCTATTCTTCTTACTTCACTTAGATTGCGACAATTTATTCTAATAACCAATGAATTTATTATTTAGTGAGTTAACCTGATTGATAGGTATCCGATTTTTTGAAATACTAATCTATTTTATAATCATCAATAGGATATTTAATTGTCTCAAATAAATATATTAGACAAGATCTAAATTCTGACTTATCAAGATAACCGTTTCTATTGATATCATATTTATCCCAGATTTAAGTATAAGTACTCTTCAATCTTTCTACTAAATATTAATCAGATTCTTAGGCATAAATATCATCTAATTTTGTTGTGCCTTATCGATCTGGATCAGTTTCTTCATTATTGCCTTATTAAATGATCGGAGATACAATTTTAATATCTTTTACTTTTAAATTCCAATCCATGTCAATCAAATCAACGTCTGCTTTCAATTTAAGGTAGAAATTAGGAGGCTATTCAAGCGACTCAACTGGGACAAGTATTGACCCTTCTACTAAATAATTATAAACCTAAATGTCTTTTCTGAAGAGCTAGATCTCAATATCTGTTAATCCTTCTGCCTACGACAGGTCTAGAGTTGCGGCATATGTGTTAATGAGACGATTTTGATTTTATCGAAAGGGTATTTAACATTTTTAGAGCGATACATCAATAAATTGCTCTTCAAAACCAACACCTTTATAGTGTGAAAATTGACACATTGGATCAACATTACTGTTACCTTAGCGAATATAAACATGGTAAACACCAGGTGGTATTTTTTCTACAATCCATCTAGGAGCAAACCACCATACGTTTACACACTTGTATACTTTTTTTCCAAATAGAGTATTATTTATCTAAGTAAGGATCCAGAATTGTGATTATTATTGATATTCCCATTTAAATCCAGCCCCTGCTGTAGCTAAACATATTATTCCTTCTTAAGTATATAATCTGAAGGTTCCCTTCGTGCCTTTTATAATATCTAAACTGTTATTAGCACACTTATCTTCAAATTCTTTATCTCTATCAAGCCCAGCTTGATTTGCATTGCTTTCATAGAACATTATTAATTTAATTATTTATATAGTATCATTTTAAAGTTAAATTCGAATTATGAAAGATAGAGCATTTTTATTAAGTAAAGTAATTCGAAGTTCAAATTCAATAATTTCAATTTTCATTTCAGCTTCATGGGGTTTTGGGGTTTTGGGG